TGTTACTTTGTCTTTGATATGGACCCCAGGAGGAGTTGATCCGAATAAACAACAAGCAATGAAATGAGCAACAGTTTAACAGTGCAACTTCATATAACACATTACATATTTAAAATTAGAAATGCAACACACTGTGAGATACGTAAAAGACATATGGATGAATATTTAAAAATAAATGGAAACTAGGTAGTTGACAGTACGATCTGAATGATGAATGTTTGAGGTAAAGCCAACAGAGAATAAATATACATTTAACCTGGTTTTAAGATCGTTATCACACGTTTAAGCACATTCTGTCCGTTCAGAACATCTTCATTCACCACTCAAAGCTGCTCGGCCTCTGGAGGGGTACCGGTGGATGGGGGGGATGGGGGGGGGCAGTGTAACGTACCATGGAACACTTGTGTCTTCCTTCAGTGCAGAGAGCGAACAGGGGGGAACGAGAGAAAGACCTCACGGACTGCTACAGAGCTGAAATATAGATGAGGTCTGAGGAATGGAGGCACTTCACCGGCTTTTTCCCATTCCCCCCCCCCCCCCCCACACACACACACACACACACACACACACACACACACAAAATCAACCCCAAACCAAGATATTCCTCATTCCTGACACGCACCAAATCTCTCGCAAGAGGCAGCACACATTCACACTGCAGCTCCAGCCATCCACCTCCCAATGGTCACCTAAACCCCGGCTCTACCTCAGCATACACACAGTTTCACACACACACACACACACACACACTGTTTGAGGCCCCCCCCCCCCACCGTGCCTGCATTATTGAAACCCACTTAGCACACTGGCTTTCTCCTGACATCTGACTCACCGAAGCAGTGACCCGAGAGAGGAAGGAAGAGCTGGATTCTCTGATTCTGCAGCAAAAGAGACGAGAAGAAGTTACTCTGAGGAAGAGCTGGTCCCATGTTAGACAGAACAAAGAGAGGAGGAGCTGCGGAAGAAGAGCCGTGTCTCTTTTCTAACGAGGCAGCGATACCTCGATGCAGCAGAAAGCCATTGTGACATTTATCAACAAAAGCCTGGTCTAAAGTCAATGTGGCAGCATTTATCTGCCGTTTAAAAGAGGCATTATTCAGATGGTGAGATAGCGGGTTGACAGCGTAAGTAAACTCTGCTTGTTACACACTGAGGGACGTTCATATGCAGTCGAATGGAGTTGCTCCCATTGACCGCTCTGCAGATTCCTCAGCTGAAAACCGCTCACTTCTCCAATTATGCAGAATCCGCCATTTAAATGGCAAAACTTAGTTAGGTTTAATAAAAGATGGTGAAATACTTAGTTAGCTTTAGTCAACATAAGTGATCCATTTGATTTAGGAAAAGATCGCCGTTTGCGTTAAAATACTTTTGGAAGTGGCGTTACTGACGTACGCAAGTTACCCGTCAAATAGCTGAACTTGGACTTGTTTCACACGGGGAACTAACGGCTCTCTCCTGGAGGAAAGAAAGGTTTTCGTTTCATTGTTTGTGAAGCAATCTTTTCAAAAACAAAAATGTATTTCCACTTTGATAAACATCTTTCAGTGAACGCCTTGAAAGCTAAACCCGTTGGCAGATTGTCAAAGTGCATTCCATCTCTTGTGAAGAGCGCAGTGTTTGCTGCGTCGAACTGTACTTCGTGTTTGTTTTATGTTGCACTCTGTGCAGCAAGAAGCAGCCTTTCCTTTGGGACGACCCGCCGAAATCAGCCCGTTCTACTTCAAGCTTACTTAAGCTTAGCTTTGGGTGGAGTAACAATAAAAAGGCATCGGTCATAGAAGGAACAGCAGAAAAGCTTTGTTGGTGATTTCAAAGTTATTTCCAGTGTGTCGCTCTACGGTTACACTTACATTAAGTAACACCAAGTGTGTGTATATGGACCCTTTGAGGAACTGTGAATGAGGAAGTGCAGTATATCTACCCAGAGGGAGAGTTTCATCTCCTCACTATCTGCCTGTTTGCTAATGGAGGAATCACAGATAAGAAGCCGATTGCTCTGTAACAAGCAGGAACAAGAGGGAACGTGTGATGAGGGAATCCGGCTCTTATACTCTTCGAGATGAAAGGCCGATAAACCTTTATGGCTTTCATTACGAAACTCGTCCGTCTTGAGAAGAGATTTCACGTTCAGTTACTTTCAATTTCATGCCGTTGTTTATCAAATTAGGAGTTATGAATCGGTTTTTGGATCAAAACTCTGCAAGAAGCATTTTTTTTGATGATTTATTTCACAAAAACTGGACAATCTATATGTCCAAAACATGTTGGAAAGAATTGATGTTATTTAGAGTTTATTTGAGGTCACATGACTGTTGGTCTCAGGTGAATCAATCATAACTGAGTTACTCAGACTTTAATGTATTTCACAGGATCTGGTTAAAGCAAACGGTTCGTTTTAAATGAGACGTAGAATAAAATAAAATGACTTTGATGAAATATCACAATTTTAAGCTTCGATCCGGCTTCTTTTCACTGTTTGTGAAGACGTCAGTGTTTTAGATTTCCGCTTTAACAAACATCTGTCAGTGAACGCGTTGCTCTCTTGTGAAACAGCGCAGTGTCTGTTTGAAGTGGTACTTTGTGTTTGTTGATGACACTCTTACGTGGATCATGATTTACTCCGTTGTTCCTTTTATTAACTGAATCATCATTTTGTCTTTTAATGCCTCACTCGTATTATTTCATCCATATTACAGTCAACAAACCCCCAAAGATTCACTTAAGTTACCGTTGATTGGTTTTCTGTCTGGTTGCACCACGGTGATGGATGAATGCACGCTGAGGTGCTTCCTCACCTCCTCACCCCCTCATGCTTCGGTGCAACAACATGTTCTGTCTATTACACGCTTGAGATCCGGTGGACCAGATGGACATTAAAGTGTTTCAGATTGTGTCCTCGTCAGCCTCGACCCCGACACCTTATACACCCTGAGCATGCTAAGTGAATATATACGTATATACTGTAGCCATGACTACAGACAGACTCCTGTGTGTCTGCCAGCCCCAAAATCCAGTTCAATGGGGAACTGGTTCAGCGGGTCAGCACACACACACACACACACACACACACACGCGGTCAGACTGATGAAATTAGGAGCAGTTAACTGGGACCCTCCTCCTCCTCCTCCTCCTCCTCCTCCTCCTGTGGTTGTTTATCGCTCCGATCGGCCTCCGTGTCGCCAAACCAAATGTTTGGGCTGCGTTCTCTGGGCTTCTCTAAACCCTCCAGGAGGGTTTTCGTGTGCAACCCCTTCAAACCTCCCACAGAGGGAGAGGTGCGAGAGGAAGAGATGTGAGAGAGAGGGGGGGGGGGGGGGGGTGTAGGACCTCACTGATAAGAGAAACAAACATCAGATCCTCAAAGTTTGTATCAACACAGGAACTTAAAAACTGGCTTTTTTCTCAACGTTTCCTCTTCCCTCCATTCAACGCATTCCAGACCCCCGAGCGCATGCCCGCTCTGTGATTGGCCGGCTCATCGCCGTAGGGATGGGTGCCGGGCGTTGCCGAAGCCCTTAAATTGTCCAGATGTTTCTTAAAAACAGCTTTTAGCCGACGGGTTTGTCCCGAAGCAGAGATGAATTTAGTTTGTGACGAGTTTTATTCATCAGAAATACAATAATAGAAAATAATGAATGTACGTAATGAATGCATATGATAATAATAATAATAATAATAATAATAATAAACACATAATGCAAAGTGCAGCGGCTGTTTCTCTTCACATCTGGCACACTAGTCTTTGTTTATAAAGGTTTATCTTCTGATGAATCTCACATTCTTTGGTTTTTCACCACATTGATTGGAGATACCAGCGCTGGCTCTGTTAATGATAATGTGCATTGTCTGACAGGAGGGCTGCACCCACAGGCCGGCAGCGTCACGTCTCGCCTTAGAGCTGACGGGGAGCTGCTGAGTCCACAGAAACGAGCCGCGCGGTGCGGCCGGCTGCTCTGTTTGTAAGTTGCCGTCCTGTGTGGATCGGTGACAGGTGTGAGCTTTGGTGACATGTTTAAAGGACGTCGGCCGTTTGTTTCTTGGTGCGCTAATTGTTGTTTTCAATCTTAAATGCTTGTTTAAAAACTCTACAAAACTAACAGATATCACCATAAAACTTCTTCACTGGATCAACTACATGTTTTAATATGCAAATGAAATGAATAAACTCATGTTTACAATGTTTACTGAGGTAATAAATCAAGAGAGAAGTAGAGTCATTTTCTCATAGACTTCTATACAACCAGAGGAGTCGCCCCCTGCTGGACACTAGAGAGAATGCAGCTTTAACACATGAAGCATTGACTTCACGCTAAAGAACCAGATGTTGACGCCTGCAGCAGACAAACGAATGAGGTTTGAAACACAAAGTTTAGGACTCGATTGGGTCTTAACCCGACTTCATTCAGGACTTCATGTTGATGATGGTTGTAGGACTGAGACGAGGCTCCATGACTGTTCCGTGACTGCCCTGCGTGAGCGTGGCTGGAGAGGATATCCCACTCAGGAGCCCACGTTAAGATGCTTTGAGTCCACTTTAATGTTCCATTTAAATCCACTTTTTATTGTCACTCAGACAGAGAACATGTCGATGTGTGCAGACAGGATCATTGTGTCATCTCGTGTCTTTGAACATTACGATCATCGCTTTACATTTAGCAAGTCCTCCGTGAGAAGCTGGAAGTCTCAGGTCCTTTACTTCTAAAAATCAATTCAAATCATCTTCTTCTTCATTTCTAAGTATTTCTATGTCTTCTTCAGACTGAGCGGGGAAACGGTGAACATTGTCACGCTTTTGCTAGCTTGAAGGGTAAAAGCCGGTTTATCTTCTTCCTGTGTTCTGGACTATTGTTCTCGGTGATGGTTTTTCTTATTGTGCTTGTTAACCACCAGAGTTCACTACTTTCTGCGTCTGTGTAACTGTGGGTTCGTCCCACAGAGGGAGATGTGACTGAAGAGACAGACCTCTGATGCTTCTTCCCTCCTCGCTCTCTGTGCAGGATGAAAATGCGGCGGCACCGGGTGTTCCTGCTGTGCACGGTGGGCCTGTGCGTCATCTCCTTCCTCCACTACTACAAGGCCCTCCACTACGTCTCCCTGCTGCGCGAGCTCTCCGCCCCCTACCCCAACATCAAGTCCTTCATCATGGTCTCCGGCTTCTTCTGGAGGGAGAAGGGCGCGGGCGCCACACCGCTAAGCCCCGCCTCCCCCGAAGAGGCCCCTCCCCTACCGGTCCTCCGTCCGTCGGACACCAAAGGTCGAGCGGCGGCGGGCGCTGAGGGAGGAGGAGGAGGAGGAGGAGGAGGGATGGCTCTGGGGAACGGCGGGGTCATGGTTGGAGGCACGGGGCTGGAGATGAGGTTGAGGGAGGAGCCGGCGCCTCCTCACCCTTGGGAGAAACCGGAGGAGAACCAGCGGCTCGGCGCTCCGGATGAGGTGGGTGAACCTGAACCAGCGTGACTAGAAGTAGAAGTCAAACGTGTCTTTAGTGCAGAATCACAGTTAAAAAAGGAAAAAGTTGTATTTCTTTGATAATTTATTTTACAAAATTTGGAAAACACTGCAATCTATAAATCCATATGATGGGGGGGGCTCTACGTGTTTTATATATTTAACTATTCACATGTTTACATCCTCTACTTCAGCATCTCCTCTCCTCTCCTCTCTCCTCATCTCCTCTCTCCTCTCCTCATCTCCTCTCTTCTCCTCTCCTCCTCGTCTCTCCTCTCTCCTCCTCTCCTCGTCTCTCCTCCTCTTCTCTTCTCTCTCCTCCTCTTCTCTCTCCTCCTCTCCTCTCCTCGTCTCTCCTCCTCTCCTCTTCTCTCTCCTCCTCTCCTCGTCTCTCCTCTCTCCTCCTCTTCTCTCTCCTCCTCTCCTCTTCTCTTCTCTCTCCTCCTCTTCTCTCTCCTCCTCTCCTCTCCTCTCTCATCCTCTCCTCTCTCCTCCTCTCTCGTCCTCTCCTCCTCTCCTCTCCTCCTCTCCTCATCTCTCCTCTCTTCTCCTCTTCTCTTCTCTCTCCTCCTCTCCTCTTCTCTCCTCTCTCCTCCTCTCCTCTTCTCTTCTCTCTCCTCCTCTTCTCTCTCCTCCTCTCCTCTCCTCGTCTCTCCTCCTCTCCTCGTCTCTCCTCTCCTCCTCTCCTCGTCTCTCCTCTCTCCTCCTCTCCTCTTCTCTTCTCTCTCCTCCTCTTCTCTCTCCTCCTCTTCTCTCTCCTCGTCTCTCCTCCTCTCCTCGTCTCTCCTCTCCTCCTCTCCTCATCTCTMCTCTCTCCTCCTCTCCTCGTCTCTCCTCTCTCCTCCTCTCCTCGTCTCCTCTCCTCTTCTCTTCTCTCTCCTCCTCTCTCTCCTCCTCTCCTCGTCTCTCCTCTCTCCTCCTCTCCTCTTCTCTTCTCTCTCCTCCTCTTCTCTCTCCTCCTCTCCTCTCCTCATCTCTCGTCCTCTCCTCTCTGCAGCTCACAGCATTGCTTGCATTTCTTTGGTGTATAGTTCAGTGACTGTTCGGGGCTTAATCCTCGTCTCTCCTCTCGTCTCTCCTCTCGTCTCTCCTCTCGTCTCTCCTCTCTGCAGCTCACAGCATTGCTTGGATTTCTTGGTGTATAGTTCAGTGACTGTTCGGGGCTTAATCCTCCTCCTCTCTTCTTTGTCTCTCTTTTCAGGAGCGAGCCGAAGACCGTCTGAAGCCGCGAAACCCCAGCCGCCCGGCCCGGCCGGCAGGGCCTGACCTCCCGGAGGTCCCGCTGGTGGGAAAGGAGCAACTGGACGCGTTGCACAAGAATCCGTTGCCTGACCCCTTGGAAGCCATGGGAGACCTCCACACCCGCACACACCAGCTCCAGCATGACAGAACCCCTTACTTTGTGCGAACCAAAGCGGGAGCCCTTTGCTTCAGACAGGGGACGGAGGTGGCCACCCAAAAGGAGTACTCTGGGAAATTAGGGGGCCCCGTGGCTAACGGAGGAGGGGACGGCGGCGCTCGAGCCGCCGGGCAAAGGAAACCTCTGGAGGTCCAGCAGCCGCCCTCCATCGCTCCGAAGGCCAAGGCCAGGACCAGGGGCGGCGGGGGCGGCGGCGGCAAGCGGCTGGTGAAGTGCGTTTGTCGGCCGGGATGGCACGGACCTTACTGCGGGGTTCCCACCATGGTGTACCACTCCAATCTGCCCACCAAGGAGCGGCTGACACCCAGGGAGACCCCGCGCAGGGTGATCAACGCCATCAACATCAACCACGAGTTCGACCTGCTGCATGTGCGCTTCCATGAGCTCGCACAAGCCGTTGATATTTTCCTCATTTGTGAATCCAACTTCACCGCCTACGGAGAGAGACGGCCTCTGAGGTGAGACTTTGTAAACTTTAAAGAGGTAGTAGAAGTATATATACACATATATACACATTTATATTATAAAAGCCTCGTTATGTCGTCGTTCAGGCTGGTCTCATCCCGCATTCGTAGCTATGAAACATATTTCATTTTGGATGTTATCAACGTAATCATGAATGACGAAGTATAAAATCCGCTGTTCGTTCCTCGTGTGAAACCAGAAGTCAATGTTGATGTTTCTGTCACGCAACATTCGTTCTTCAGTAACAAAACGTCTGTGCTTATTTTAACACAAACTTCCCAAGAGTGTGTTTCTCTTAACCTAACTGAGTGCATGTACTGAAGGGAAAGTGACACGTGTTGCTGGACTGTTGTAGGAAAACGTAGCTTTTCGAAGGATATCATACAAACACGTGTATGAGGATCATCACGTCTTGATATCGATCAATTGGTTGACTTGAGGTCACTGGAGAAGCCCCCATTCATTGCCCCAGTTTCATATTCATCAAAACTGCACAAAATCCCAAATCTTTCAGCCGAGCTGCGGCACCGCCGATGCGTCGAGTGGCACCGGTTCACAGCCGGTGTTCACAGCCGGCCTTCACGCCTCTTGAGCATCGGCGCTCCGAATGACAATTAAAGCAAAGTTCCTTTTGGAGACGACATGAAAACGCCTCGGGAGCAATTTTCAGCAGATTAAGAGGCGAGCGACACGGTTGACTCTGCGTGTGCAGCCGTGGAAGCAGAGAGATCGGTGTGTTGAATCATAGGAAGTGACACCGCGTGAGAGCGGCTCCGTCTCTGTGCACACCGACGGGTTCATTGAGTTGTTCTTGCAGTCAGTTTTTTACGACATCGTTCATATTTCATGAATGAATGAATGTTTTTTCTCACCGACTGGCTCCCCTTTGTGTTCTGTGCAGAATGAAAATCAATGTGTTGTAATCTATTACAGTGAATATCAGGTGTTTTTTTGAGTGTGGAGGACGAGGTGGAGTAATAATGACGCCAACTTTAACAGCGTGTGGATTCTCCTTTTCTTTAAGCTGGACTTAACGTTCCATCGACTCTCTTCTTCACCACCTATCGCTGGTGCATCGCTACTGACTGACTGTCAAACATTAGAATAATGTGAAACTCAACATGTGAATGTGCGTCCTCGAGTTACAACTCTACCGGGTTCCTTTTTAAGCAATATAATCTGTCAAGTCTGAATGGATTACACTCAAGCAAAGGATTCAACTGCTCGTAAATGTGTGTAAAATATGGCAAAGAATGGAAAGCAATGGCAGGTAAAATACATCCAAAGACATCGGGGAGAATATTTAGCGGTGATGTGACAAGTTCTATATAACAACACAGATTCATGATTCCACTAAATGGCTTTTCCGTAATTTCCCCAGTTTCCTGCGGCTCCTGCTCAACGGTACGTACGACTACGTACGTCACAAGATCCTCTACGTGTTCCTCGATCACTTCCCAGAGGGCGGTCGGCAGGACGGCTGGATCGCCGACGACTACCTGCGCACCTACCTGACACGCAACGGCTTGTCCAGGCTGGCGGGCATCAGATCGGACGACGTCTTCGTCATCAACGACGCGGATGAAATCCCGGCACTCGAGGGCCTCCTTTTCCTCAAGCTGTTTGACGGCTGGACGGAGCCTTTCGCCATCCACATGCGCAAGGTAGCGACGACGACTCGGCTCGTCTGCGGGACGTTTTCTTTGTAATGTTTTAGTTACTGATTCTGTTCTTCTTCTCTCTCCCCTGCATCCAGTCCCTGTACGGGTTCTTCTGGAAGCAGTTCGGCTCTCTGGAGGTGGTGTCGGGCTGCACGGTGGGGATGCTCCGTGGCGTCTACGACGGCGACGGCATCAAGCTCCGCCGCCGCGAGTACTACACCATGCCGGGTTTCCGCAAGTACGAGAACGACACGGGCCACATCCTGGTGCAGTGGTCGGTGGGGAGCCCCTTCCACTTCGCCGGGTGGCACTGCTCCTGGTGCTTCACGCCCACCGGGATCTACTTCAAGCTGGTGTCGGCTCAGAACGGGGACTTCCCGCGGTGGGGCGACTACGAGGACAAGCGCGACCTCAACTACATCCGCGACCTGATCCGGACGGGGGGCTGGTTTGACGGCTCCATGCAGGAATACCCCCCTGTGGAACCCAAAGAGCACATGTACGCCCCCAAGTACATGCTGGAGCACTACGACAGGTACCGGTACCTCCTGGAGAACCCTTACAACAAAGGGTCCAGACTGAGTGAGGGCTAGGAGGTCAGCTAGGAGACTTAACTAGCAGGACCGAGGGAGGCCTCAGCACTGAGCGGTACTGAAGTACATCTCTCGTTGGAGCGATGCCACTCGTATCTCCACCAGGCAGCACTGATGTTGCAGGAACTGAAAAATCGTTATTTTGGGGTCAAAAAAAGGGAACACTGTCATCCACTATGGATTTACGGAGAGATTGTGGAGAGGATACAACCACTGGAGAAACAAAATCATAGATTTCCTCACTCCTCCCTTTTTGGGGGAGGAGCCTAGCTGTCTCTCTTTTTCGCCACCCTCGCCCCTCTCCTCTCTTTCTCCAGCCGAGCTGACTGGACGCACCGTTTCTGAGAGAAAGGGGCAGCTCGGAGGTAAAGACAGCGATGTTTCACAGCCGCGTGGAGGCGAAGAGGCATGGTTTCTTTCTTTTTCTGTCTGTGTTTACTAAAGTTTTCGGGACCGGCTGGCGTTCCCAATCTCTTCCTGTCTTCCTGTCATGCTTGGTGACCTCCTTCCAGAAACAGACACATATTCAGATATTCTTGGGTCTCAGTAGAAAAGTGTAAACCCTGTTAAACCCACTGCCAAACGACATGTCTCTGCTCACACTGCACCTTCAGCCCCGCCTCTCTGTGTTTGTGTGCGGCCTGTCTTTGTGTCATAATTGCGTTGCTTCAATGGGGGGGGGGGGATCGCCAGGGGAGGTCGGTGGAGGAGATGGGAAACAGTGCAAGAGAGACAGAAGGCGGGAGAGAAAGGAGAGTAATGAGGGAGGACGGGGAGCGGTGATAAAAAGAAAAAGGAGACTCCCTCGACGTTCCCGGTGTCCCACAGTGTCTGCTGACGCACGAGTTGTTGCAGGGATGAGTGTGTGTCTGTGTGTGTGTGTGTGTGTGTGTGTGTGTCTCTCAGAGCTCACGCACATCTCTGAATAAATCATGCCAATCCGAGACGGATGAGACTCGCCGGTATTGGTTTTTTTTGTCCGACAAAGAACAATCGAGACTGAAGAAAGATCTCTTCAGTTCGTTCGTCCGGGCAGCTGAGATGAGTTTTGTTTCCTTGGAAACTGAAGTGTGTGTGAGAGACGGTGCCGGCGTCGGGATGAGTGGGAGGGTTCACATCAGGCGAGAGGAGCAGCAGCGTTCAAACGAGGTCGCCGTCGACCGTGGGTCTCCTCGGCTGTCAGTCGCCCACTCTCTGAAAAAGGACTCCAAGCGTTTCCTGTCGTCTTTCTTTCTCTTTTTCTCGCCGCCGAGTGTTTTCCTTTTGTTTTGGTGTCGGTTTCCTCTTAATCCTCATTCACGAGCCGTAGGTCGTCTCCCTGCATTGCAGTGGTTTCTTTAGTGCTCGTTCAGAGACGCTCATCGCTCGCTGAGTCCAGGGAGGTGAAGAAGTGTTCGGTTGTAACGTCACTATGTTCACATGGTTTCTCCATGGCCCCGCCCCTTTAGCTCCAATGGGAGGAGCGAACGTGAACACAGATTACGACCGATTCTTCCGCTCCATAGTCACCACAGTAAAATATTGGACCCGCTTCTTACAAGCCACGTATCTTCTTCAACATTCGGACACTGAAATCAACAATCAGGATTCTTAACATCGTTTGAGCTGAGCAACACACTTTTAGTGAGTTCATCTCCGTCAGAGAGAGAAACACTCACAAGACTCAAAGTCACTATCTGACCCCAAACCATCCAGCCTGTTGGGTTCCTTCTGCTCACAGCTCATCAGTATGTCCAGAAGTGAACCGCAATCAATAAGCAGCGGCCCGAAGAGCCCTGAAGCTCCGCCCCCTCTGCTGCACCGCTTCTTTATTTTTTTTCAAATTTTAATAAAATTGTACTAAATTCAACACGTCCAGCGTGAAGTGAAAGAAAACACAAATACAGCTTTAAATTTAGATTCTTCTCTACACATCCCACACACAAACACACACACACACACACACAGGCTCTCACACTCCATCTTTGGGTGTGTTTCTACTTCCTCTTAATCCTCACGAGAATGTGTCGTTTCAGTAATAGGGATATATTCATCCTCCCCTCGTGCCCACAGACCCCTGTTATCTCAACATGTAGGGCTCGAGCGCCGTGGACGGGCTGTCGATGTGGCTGGATTGCCCCCCTTATGTGGGCGTCTCACGTGGGCCGGGGACACGCCAGCGTTTAGCGTCCTTGTCCGGGGGCGAAGGAATCACAGCAGCACGAGGAACGATGCCAGAGATCAGTGAAGTAGGCAGACGAACATTGCAGCAGACGGATGAGTAGAAGTAAAATAAAACGGCAGACGCGTCTACTTTTCTTTTAATTGCAGATTGACTGCATCCACCATCTGCTTCTCTCAACGCCTGTCTGGGCTCCACGCTTATCGTGTACCTCAGCATCACAGTGAGCAGTGCCTCGAGAGGAATAAACAGCGTTCTGAGAATAGTTTAAATCCTGAAGGCAGAAGTTTGATGTTGTAGCCAAACAATGCTGTTCTTTCCTCAAAGTGTCCTTGAGCTCCACCTCCTCATTCACCATTTAGTCCCTCTGCACCGCGTACCACGGAAGCCTCGACCACCGCATGGGTAACCAAGCTGAGATTGCAGCACGTCTGTCTGTCGGGCTGGCTGTGAGCTCACAGTTTTTTGGGGGAAAGCAGATTAGCCGACAGGCCGCTTGGCGGTTGCGTCGGGTCCGACGGCAGCGCGGTCTGCGGCAGCAGCTGTTGGGGGTTTGGTGTCGGCGCTGAGAGCCAAACTCCCGATCCAAGAACCCCAGAGAGGCTGCAGAGAGACGAGCTGTAAATAGGACTTGACATCAGCCGACCGAGGAGACGAGAACAATGCTGAAGTATTTATTGGTTTTGCTTCTTAATTCGATTTACTGCCTTTTAAAAAGCTGCTGATTGATGGCGACTGATAACACGGGTGCTGCAGTTTAGAGGGAAGAAAGCAACAGAGTTATCAGAGTGGATTTATTTTAAAGATGTTGATTCAGGGAGTTATTCAAAATGGATGGTCGTGGACCATTTTAGTTTGAATCACATCGTTTAACCTGCTTTATTGGGTGTTGAATTTGGTGCTCTAAAACCTGCATTCTCTCTAGTGACCACCAGGGGGCGACTCCTCTGGTTGCATAGAAGTCGATGGGAGGAAAAATCACCCAAAGAAACCACAGAACCCGTCGTCGCGTTCGGTAGAATAACTGCTTTTTACAGTTTGAGTGTTTTTCATCGATTTGACGAACTCGTCGCAGCAAGCAGTGGAAAGCGTTTTGGATGACGGGAGCAGCTCATCATCCCGTAGGAGAACGAGGTGGACGTACCGGAGTCAGAGGGGCCGTGTCTTGCTCAAGGACACTTTGGCAGATTGTTATGTATATGTGTGTGTGTGTGTGTGTGTGTGTGTGTGTGTGTGTGACCGTCTGACTGATCGCAGCTCTGGCTCGGCGCCTGCTGTCATGTTTGTCGTCATCGTTCATAAAATCAATAAAGCAGTGGGAAATGAAATGGCTGCAGCCTTTTTAACCACAACACAGCTTCATGATTCACTTTGTTTTCAATACTTTAGCATCAAACGCTCTCCAAAGATACGATACTTCGGCTTTGAATTCAGTCGTCTCTCCGATGCCTTTAGTACCTTTCAGTTATTGATTATTAGCAAAAGGGAAACGGATTCACTTTGTACTGAATGCAGCTCGTCTGCTACAGTTCACTTCAGTATTTAGTTCATCATCATTTATGCATATTTTCTCTGCATAAATCATTCATTAGGTTCATTTTTGCACATTTCTGTACTTCCATGCATAAAGGGACACTCCAGTGATTTAGTGTTGCACTTCTATAAAGTTGAGGAACTTGTGAGACACGAAGAGAAAGAAAGTAGACTGATCAGTATTTTAGAAATGTGTGCCGGCTCTGTGAAGATCCCGATCTAGAAGATCTGTTAAACCCTCGTTATTAGTTTCAGCACACACACTAACCATCAGCACATGTCTGCAGCGTGCAGCACGTGTGTGTGTATCCTGCACAGATGTGTGTTGCACCCACCACCCCGATCCCCCCCCCCCCCCGCCCCCATCTGTTGTTTTGCTAGCAGAGTGGCTGCCTGTCTACAGGGCTTACATGCTTTCACCCCCCCTCCAGCCCTGTGGCTTCCACCGAGTGACCTTTTCCAAGAAACATTAGCGGCATGCAGGCCGGAAATCAAGTGTGTGTGTGTGTGTGTGTGTGTGTGTGTGTGTGCGTGTGCGTGTGCGTGCGTGCGTGCGTGCGTGCGGAGAGAAGAGGGTCACTTTACTCGGGTCCCTTTCTGACTTTGTTGTTGAAGTCCTTTCTGTTTCTGTCGTTGGGTTTTGCTGCTGAGCGGTTCTGGAATGTTCTGAAGCCTTTTGAATGATATACGGAGAAACAAAGTGCCAGGTGTACTTCCTTGGTCCACCTTCTTCCTGAGTTGTGATCTCGTGTGTTCGAACACTTCAACGCTTCTTGCAGGATATTTTAGGAATGGGAACCAGCACACGCCTCCCGTGTTGCTGCGGTCGTCTTGGCTGCAAACGTGTTGTTGTTCCTCTTCGTGGAAACGACGGAAAGCATTCGCATTCCACGAGCGGAGCGATCACATTAAGTCCGACAGCTGCAACGATGTGTCACCGCCGATGGGAAAGTGCTGGGTGTTGCTAACCACGAGCGTTGCACTCAAACATAGAAATACTATTATCTTAAGGGCCGGTTATGAAACACTTCCCTCTGGTGCTAAAATATCCCGCTGCACAGACTCTCTCAGAGATGTGTCGCCCTTTGACAATAGAGGTGAATTTCATTCATGGCGTTTATCAGCATTGGAGAAATCTCCAACTCGTCCGGTTCACCTTCACAAAGACAAAACTCAAACAGGCCAGAGGCCGTGAACAGAAGTCATGTGGTGGACATGTGGTCCGATGATTGGCTGTACGGTTGCCTCTTCGTACGACTCAACAGTTGCCTCCACAAGTGTGATGCCTGCTTTTCCTACGCTGTGTGTGGATGAAGCTACGTTGTTGCATTTCACTCATTTAGCGCCTGGCTAGTTGAGTTAGCTAGCTCGCTCGCTAACTCCACCGTGCTTTCATGCTACACTGGTGACAGGAAAGGAGCCAAGCAGTCACTCCCCCCACTGGGAGACTAGGGAGCTGTCCTACTGGCTCGGTACTGCCTCCAGTGTTTGGGTCGGTCTAAACATCCTTAGTGTCTGTCCACCACAGAACACACATCGCATGAAGCAGGAGTTCAGAAGCAGCGTTGCAGATGAAGCAGTGGAAGCATTAGTAATGCCGAGCGGTGAAACTGACGGGTGCGTCTGGTGTGTATAATATAAGAGCGGTGTGCGTTTTTGTCATTTTGGACTCGCCAAAGTAAGGTGCACAGAGACGTGGGAGTACCTCAACACCACCCGACCCCTTTGAGATGATTGAACGAACGCTCTTGTGGCTCAATGGGAGGAAATCCCCTGCAGCCGAGCTCCATCCGCTGGTGGTAAACAATCACACACGGGCGTCCTGTTCAGGTGTCCACATACTCTCTCCCACGTGGTGTGTGTATGTGTGTGTGTGTATGTGTGTGTGTGTGTGTGTGTGTGTGTGTGTGTGTGTGTGTGTGTGT